GGAGGCCATCGCTCTTAGGTTGGAGGCCATCGCTCTTAGGTTGGAGGTTATTGCTATTAGGTTGGAGGCTATCGTTATTAGTTATTAGGTTGGAGGCCATCGCCATTAGGTTGGAGGCGGTTGCTATTAGGTTGGAGGGCATCGCTCTTGGGTTGGAGGGCATCCCTATTATGTTGGAGGCCATCGCTCTTAGGTTTCAGGTCATTGCTATTAGGTTGGTGGCCATTGTTCTGCATGTCATTTTTTTCGCGCATGTTGGAGTTGATTTCCCGGGAAGGTTGTCTCAGAGGTTCACCAGAAGCTTTTTAGTTTCCAACTCAGCAATACTGTCAGCACTATGCACTCACTAGTTACATTAGTTCCTTTGACACGCTTTGAAGAGTTGGCGGGGCCAAGACAGAACTCAAAGCTTGCAGAAGCGGTAGGTGCAACCTGAGCAACAAAAACACAAGCAGTTTTCGCGAATGATTCCGCATTTATACCGAGCATTTTAGCCGCCATGGCCTTCCGTCGTTTGGGATTGCCTTTGCGGGGTGAGGAGGAGGAACGGCCACCAAAGATCCGCCACCAGTCAGCATTCCTGATTGACAGCTGTCAAAAGGACAGAAAGGACAATGCATATTAGAAGCTGTGTGATTCGACCCCCTGCTAGCGATGGCCTCCTGCCCTTTCTTATTAATTCTAATTGTATTGAATTCTTGTTTCTAATTTCTAATAGCTTCTTGCTCCAAGTAGTACGGCCAGGAGCCCCTAGTAGCGTCCTTGCTCCTAGTAGCGATGCATCCTTGTAAACTTTAACCATTCTTGAGCTGCTTAGCACATGTGATGTGCCAAGGCAAAGTTGCGGAGAAAGAAGCCACCAGCGGAGAAGCCGAGGCCAACGGCAATCGGAGTGAGAGGGGGAAGGCCGACCGGAAGGCCAACATCGTCGCTGCCTCGGCTGTGGGAGTCAAGGCGAAGGTGGCGAAGGTAGGGCCTGCCAGGCCCCAGCTTCGGCCCCAGCTTCGGCCACGCCAAGACATTGAGCTTCAAGAAAAGCGCCCGAACCGAGGGAATCTGAACGAAAGAGGCCGAAATCTCCTCGGCTCAATGTTGATACATTTGGCCTCAAGAAGGAGGCTTCAGGTAGACCAACCTAGCAAGCCAAAGCTTTCGCGTCCAGAAGAAGCAAAAGCCTTCAAGGCCGTGAAGGATGGAGACGAGAGAAGAGACAAGGACAAGCAGATGGAGCCGACAAGGCCCAAGTTGACAGAGAAGCCGAAGCCGCAGAAGCCCGAGTCCAAGCCACCCAAGCCACGACCGAGCACTGCGAGCGCGAGTGGAGCTGCTCCGGAGAAAGAGTCTTTGGAGTTGAGACTTGCCGAGCACTACGGAAACATGATGAACTTTATTCGGACGCGGGCTGAGCCCATTCTTTTCTACCTCCCGGCACACCATACACCGGAAACTCAGAAATGTTTGGAGGAAACCCAGGAGACCATTAATCGAAAGATTCAGGTGCTAGCCACGCACTTTCAAACAGGAGGGGCTCAAGCAGATGCAGAGGAATCTGAGAATGAAGATCAGGATGCAGATGCGAATGATAGCAATGCAGGCCATTGACATATGCAACACATTGTGGGACATGCCGCAAGTGTATTGAGGCCATCGCTATTAGGTTGGAGGCCATCGCTAGTAAGTAGGTTGGAGGTCATCGCTGTTAGGTTGGAAGCCATCGCTGTTAGGTTCAAGGCCATCGCTATTAGGTTGGAGGCCATCGCTTTCTGGGTTGGAGGCCATCGCTAGTAAGTAGGTTGGAGGTCATCGCTGCTAGGTTGGAAGCCATCGCTGTTAGGTTCAAGGCCATCGCTCCTAGGTTGGAGGCCATCACTATTAGTTTGTTCCTGTCTACGTTTGTCGAAGTCTTTCTTAGTCGGTTTCTCCGCCGCGTGATGGCAGGCCTGGTAGCCAACTCGCACCGCCGGGCAGCCTTGACACCAGCCAAAACTTGATCCCAGTGGCCGCCGTGCAATGCATGAGCTGTGATATATTTATCGTAAAGCCCTAAAGCTTAGCAGATGTACCCGTGGTTGGAAAAGGCGTCTTGCGCAGAAATATGACATCAAGTGTGTGAGCCAAGTGCATGTCAGCAGTCACTAAAAGCTGTCGGCTTTTGCGGCCTATGCTTTTGCATTTGTGGGCACCTATGCCTTTAGTATGGAGGCCACCGCTATTGTTTGCACATGTTCTGCACATGCTGTGGTGGCTCAAGTGCTTGTCGCTGTGCTTGTCGTGGTCGCTGCGCCGCCATGGCTACAGTGGCTCGGCCTCGGTGGGCTGACTTGGTCGACTCCTCCCAAGAGGAGGTCGATGAGGTGGCACCGCTGCGAAGTTTCCTGCGGCATGACTCCTTCCAAGACACATGGATGGAAGACAGTCATTTTTTGCGTTTGTCACGAAAGCTAGCCTTAGCTAGCTGGAGTTGCTCTTGCTTTAGCAAGTTAAGTGACGGGGTGGACGCACCTCAGAAACCTCAAATAATTGATTAAATCAATCTTATGGACCCCCCCCCCCCCCCGCGGTTCGACTCCCCCCTGCGCGCGGTGAGCGGGACCACCAAGCAGCTGCAGCACACCAAGCATCTGCAGCGCCCAGCGCAGCAGCGGCAGCAGCAGCACCAGCAGCAGCAGCACCAGCAGCAGACCACCGGAAGCCCGGCTAGCTTTCGTTCACCCCCTCTGGCCTCAAGTTGCAAAGCCAAGGTCAGGGAACAACAACAATTTTTGGAAGTTTCGGGTCTAGGGTTGCAATTGGGTTGGAGGCCATCGCTAGCTTGGAGGTTTTTCGGATCTTGATCTCCTCCTGATCCTTCACGGAAAAAGGGAAAAAGGACGCTACGAACGGGGCTCCTGGCCGTAGTACTAGGAGCAAGGACGCTACTAGGAACAAGTGCATCGCTACTAGTAACAAGTGTCTTACTAGGAGCAAAGGGCATCGCTATTAGGAACATCCTAAATAGCTTCTTGTTTCTAATGGCAAACATTGTTCCTACTAGTAAGGCACCTGTTACTAGTAGCGATGCACTTGTTTCTACTAGCGTCCTGGCTCGGAATCCTTGACGTTTTGAGCGTCGCTTTTCAGGACTCGCAGGCCTCGCAGGGCTCGCAGCTGATGTCTCAGGCCTCGCAAGCGTCGGCGCTCGGTGAGCTTTTGCAGAATACGGAGCTCGAAACGGGTGACTTGACTCTGTTTGATGGTCGCCAGCTTTCTAGCTTCTTGTTCCTAGCAGCGTCCTTGCTCCTAGTAGTACGGCCAGGAGCCCCTAGTAGCTACTTGCTCCTACCAAACCAATCTACGAAGTGTTTTGGACGAACAGGTGGGGGGGCCGCTATGACGGACACAGGTGAACGGGTGTTTTGAGGGCACCGTCCTGACGGTTGACGGTTGACGGACTCTTGGTCATTTAATTACAAAACATCGCTTTGCTTGAAGATCCATGTGTATACGGTCTATAGCCACTAATAGGACTGGCCTCCATTCTAATAGCGATGGCTTCCATCTAGTAGCTTCAAGCTACTAGTAGCTTCTTGTTCCTAGTAGTGATGCTAGGAGCTACTAAGTAGCTTCTTGTTAGTAGTAATGGCCTCCAACTAGCCGTTCCAACTAGCCGTAAAGTCCGAAAAAGGGGCGGCAAACTTCCAATTTTTGAGTCCAAAAAGCCGAGGCGGCGAGTCATGCGGCCCAACTGCAGAATCGGATGTCCGAGAAGCGACTCCACCGCGGGCTCGAGCTCCCTTGCCATTGGGCTCGGTCAATTTTGCTTAAAGTTTCCACAGGTAGTGCCTTCCTCCTAGTAGCTTCTTGTTACTAGTAGCGTCCTTGTTACTACTAGTAAGGCACTTGTTACTAGAAGCGATGCACTTGTTACTAGAAGCGACATAGTGCAACCCATTTTCACATCACGTCATGCGCCACAGATAATGCTTTGTTTGAATTTAGATTCGAGTCGGTCGACACGTGCACAATGTGGATAACTTGAACTACATGGTGCTACATGGCAATCCAGAAGTTGTCAAGATTTGAGGTCCTCGGTTTTGGCGGCTGCTGCCAATTCAAGGACACCACAGAGCGGAAAGGAGCGGAAAGAGCGGAAGCGCGCGCAGACGGGCAGCGTCACCACTTCATCGCCAGCCACGAAGCGCTACCGAGGAAGGAAGACCGGACGGCGTCGCTCGGCCTCCCGAGACGACGATGAGACCTCGGTGACCTCGAACGCACCGAAGGTGACTTGGCGCAACCGGAGCAAGGACGCTAGAGGCGCTCCTGGCCATACTAATTGCTAGTAACAAGAAGCTACTAGAAACAAGTCCCACGCTAGTAGTAACAAGTGCCTTACTAGTAGTAACAAGAAGCTACTAGGAGCCAAGAGCATTGTTACAAGGAGCAAGGACGCTACTAGGTTGAATTTCGGCATCTCCAGATCTAGGAGTGGCCTCCAACCTAATAGCGATGGCCTCCAACCTAGAAGGGATTTAATTTAACTTAATTCTAATAGCAAACATTGTTACTACTAGTAAGGCACTTGTTACTAGTAGCGATGCACTTGTTCCTAGAAGCGAACATTGTTCCTACGATGGCCTCCAGAGACGACGATTAGATTGCAGTGACCTTGAACGCACCGCAGGTTATGACAGAGGAGGAGATTCAGAAGAGGCGGAGGAAGCGCCACAGAGTCATCGAAAACCACAAGAAGAGAGCAGACTACAAGGCTTTCGTGGCTTCTCACCCCAGAGCAAACAGAGAGCCCAGCCAGCCCATGACTCCTGATCCTGAAGAAGATCTTAGCAAAAGGCCCTGGGAAACGAAAGTGCAGAAGTGGCGCAAGTACGTTCGAACGTGGTATGCTGAGAACGTTCCAGATGGTGAGATTGATGATGACATCAGCGACATCAGTGAGGAGGATTGAGCATAGACACATTAAGAGGCTTCGGATGCATATGAACATCAAGGTATTGTACAGGGTACCTTTCAATGTGAAATCGAGTCTTCTGCTGCGTTTAAAAAGTGAGACGGCTTCTGTATGTTTGTGCTATTGGCCTGCGTTTGGGGAGATCTGGCATTGGAGTTTCAACTAACTAGATCGAGGCATAGTGACTATGCCATAGTCTTGGAGATTGTATTGCTAGTAGGTTGGAGGCCATTGCTTCTAGGTTTGAGGCCATGGAGATTGTTTTGCAGGTTCAGTGGAATGCTCTCTCCATGAATTTTGCCCAGGTGAGAGCCTCAAGAGCAACGAGAACGAGATGGATATATGGGAGCATCCGAGGTGTTCTGCTTTGTTCGACCTTTCTTGCAAACCTGTTACTACTAGCGATGCACTTGTTACTACTAGCGATGCACCTG